CTCCAGTCTGGGCGACAGAGTGAGACTCCAACTAAAAAAAAAAAAAAAATGTTGGACACATGTTGTATAGACCATATAATCTCATAATGTAATAAATGTATTCAAAAGACTGGATGGGCTATGTAAAATGATAACAGGTGATTATTTTCGTGTGGAGAGTTTAACATTTTCCCTTAAGACTTTATAATTTATACTTTTTAGTTTTCTACAATGAACATGTGTTACTTTGCTTAAGGAAGAATCTTCAGAAATGTAAAATAATTAGCCTACTACCAATATTTGAACTTTGAAACTCAGAGTAGCCTGCTTTTTGGTAGCACTTCAGGTTACCAAGATCTGGATAATTTTTTCATTTGTTAATTTAGGGGCAACCCTTTCAGGTCCCTCCCACTGTGGGAGCTTTTCTGTCCTCTTAATAAATTCTGCTTTCTAAAAAAAGGCAACCCCCTCAGGCCCCCGCTCACTGTAGGAGCTTTTCTGTCTTCTCAATAAATCCTGCTTTCTCGAAAGAAAAAAAAAAATTAGAAATAAACTTTGCCAAGTTTTCTAGCTAGTTTCTTTTTCTTTTTCTTTTTTGCATCAGGTTCTCACTTCTTGCCGAGGCTGAAGTGCAGTTGCATGATCACAACGATCATGGATCACTGTATCCTTGACCTCTTGAGTTCAGGTGATTCTTCCACCTCAGCATCCTGAGTAACTGGGACTGCAGGTGCATGCCACCACACTGGCTAATTTTTTGATTTTTTTTGTAGAGATGAGGTTTCACTATGTTGCCCAGATTAGTCTCAAACTCCTGGGCTCGAGCAGTCCACCTGCCTAGGCCTTCCAAAGTGTTGGGATTACAGGCGTGAGCCCCTGTGCCCGGCCCCTAGCTAGTTTCTCTACCAGTCAACCAATATCACCACTCAGCTAATATCACCTTTGTATTATGCTGACTGATTTTCTCCCAGCTCGATTTTATCTGTGCTCTAACACTACTGTTTCCACACTCTACTGTCAGAATTTACTTAAAGGAAGAGGCATTATTTGGATTCAAAGATTTTTAGTACAATAATGATTCCATTATACTCTTGTGGATTTCTGCCCCTTTGAGAGCAAATTTTTCTATATTTGCCAAGCACTCCTTCTTATGTTTTACCTTAGCTAAAAGCTGTCTTTCTCTAGTTACAGGACATTTCTTACAGGTATCTCTACCTTCTATCT